ATTTCGGCTCCTTTTACAATGAATCCTGTTTTCCAACACTTCTAATTTGTTTTAAATTAAAGGTGCATAAAACAAAGTTGTCATCATAAAGTGGACAAAACCATATTTCAGCTTAAAAAATTTTCTATCCATTTAATTACTATGGAAGCAAAAACACCAACCAAAGTACCAAATTAATTTTTTTTCCAATTTCCAGATATTTGATTATAATTAGGGGTGAATTCAAGCTGAGCCGAGCCAAATAGTATCAGGTTTGAGCTCGGCTCGCCAAATAACTACAAGGCTCAAGTTCGAGCTTGAGCTAGAACCTTGAGCTCGAGCTCGGCTTGGCTCAAGCTTGATTTGAGAAAAAAAAGTATTTTATAAAAATAAAAAAATTATAAAAAAAGTGTTTTATTAATTGAGCTTATAAATTGGGTTCGAGCGCGGCTGAAACCGAGTCGAGCCAAACTTTTCACGAACCAAGCTCGAATAACTCGTGAAAAACTCAGCTCATGGCCACCCCTAATTATAATACAGTTCTGGTCATTCGAACGAGTCCCAATCTCGAACCACCCGTGTCATACCTGGTCCAGACCTGAAAATACCTCAAACCGATGCATATATAATGAACTCTTTACTTGATTATATATAATAGCTATTTAACAAAGAATTAATCAACTTCATTTCTTCTAGCAATATATAGTCGAAGGGGAAATTGATAAATGATGAACAAAAAACTACATAGTAATAAGAGACAACATTGACAAAAATAAATCTTATGCTAATTCCGAAGTAAAATCTTTGTAAGATGGTAAGCAACTCTAACAGTAGTAGTTGAGGTCAGGTAGATAAAGAGCTAAAAGCTAGTTATATATCATATTTGAATGTCACCAGCGTCCTTTTAACCATGGTTTTTAAAATTGGATCAGATTGGACAGTTGGACTGGAAAAATTGGGAACCGGTCAGGTGACCAGTGATCGGTTCCGTTTTACCCCATAATTGTTATTTTCCCAAAAACTGTTGATATGGTCAGTAAACTGTTGACCCGGGTGTTTGAACCGTTTAAATTTTTTTGTTTTTTTTTTTGTCAAAATGGACTATCTGTTCGGTTCGATTGTTCGGACCATTCAACCCAAGAACCAGACCCTAATTGGTTTGTTGTCCGGTTCAATTTTAAAAACCTTACTTTTAACTACCCATAGATTTGAATGGCTCAGAAGATATGCTATATATTTACATGCATGAATCATGATGATGCAACTCTTCACTTAGAGAAAAGTAAAGGATTAAAGAAGGACAACAACCTTCTTTTATAAAATGAATGTTTACATCAAACGGAGTAAGAAACTATAGTGTTGTGTACTATCAATCTATTAATACTTGGAGAATGGTAAGGAATTATAATAAGATAATCTTGTACTACCAATCTCCTAATACTTGTAGTACCGAGGGGCCCTTATCTTAATGTATAGTGCTGCATATTCTAGACACCATTGCAATGAGCATTATTTTTGTTATATATACAAAAGAATCTAATGACTTTAATGGTTAAGCCATCCAATATATAACTCGATTTGGTGTTTGATCGAGTAGATTATATTGTTCTTGTTCTCTGTGGAAAACTCATTTTCTTTCTTTCTTTCTTTTTTACTTTCTTACTTTCTTCTTTGAGAATTTGTAGGGGCAGAAAACCAAACTTAAACTGCTTTCTATATTGATTAACATGTCCACTAGTTTTCTAACAATACTATATATGTATTCAGATTTAGCATCCCTTTACTTGCATTGTGGATATAATGACATAATTAAATGTTGCAAGGGCATAGATTCTGGCACTCTATCACTGTCACAAACTTCTAGATATGGCAAGAAATAATGTTCTGTGTAGATTAGGCTGAGCAAATAAAATAAAATTATTATTATTATTGCACTATTATATTATCTTCTTTTGAAGATTTGGTTCCGCCATCTTTTTTGTTGCAAAAGCTGCAAGTAAATAGTTTAAAGGTGGCAATGTTTGATTACAACCATCATTCTTTTTCTAGGTGTAGAACAGCTTGATTGGAGTCACATTTTGGGCTAGTTAATTTGGACGTATCCTTAGAGCAAGCGCACTAGAGCTGGATGATCTTGCCACAATTGTAAAAGAACCACATGAAACTCGATCATTTTTTTTTTCCTTTTCCTAAGATATTTTGGGTGAATAGCAACTCACCCAATCCACAATAGACCTCTACTTTATTAAGTTCTTCTAGCTAGGCTTTAACAATTAACACAAAGCTTTATAAGAATTCATCACATCAGATTGCAATCTCACTTACTGTAATTTAAACTCTTAATTAACACATTTTTGCGCTCAAGTCACTAGCTGATGGAAGGATACTCGAACCTTGGAAATGGGAATCAAGCAGCACATCAATCAATTGCAGAAGGAAGGGAATATGGAGATTTATGTAAGCAGATAAAGGTGATGGATACAAAAATCGAGATAGGAGAGAAATGGGGTGAGGAAAGAAGAAAGATGGTTTTCTCCCTAACTACTTAACAGAACAACTCGGCCACTTTAATATATGTGTTGGAGATGGAACTATGGAATCTATTTATTTTTTTATTTTTTTTTTGGTTTTTTTAAAGATGATTTCTAACTCGAAAATGGAAGTCTTTCGGTGATTCTTGTACAACCATTACTTGATTCGGTATCAGTTCCATCAGTGTGCACAGATGAGAAATTCTGTATTGAGTTCTATCAACTATAATGTCGGCTTCACAGACAGATGGTGACCCAATCAGATTCTTAACCCATGTGCTTATGGGGAGGTAAGTGATTATAATCATCATATTGGTCCGGTCCTACAAAAACTTTGTTGGGGATTGATTGGGGCACATCCCCTTTTTGATAAATTGTTCAAATTTGTAAGATTTGTAGAAGACAAATATTCTTATGGGCTCTTCTTAAAATAAGTTAATATTCTCTTGAAGATGAAAGGCGAAAAAAATATTAGAGTGTTCCTTCTATGGATGATCACTAGCTAATTTATTATAATAAAAATTAATACTTTGACAAATAATTAGGGTTTTATTCTCACTACATAAAGAATGATGTGCCCAAATCATAAGAGTTCGGTTCTCCTTCAACATTGTTATGATCTTGATTATGAAATGGGTTTTTTTCCGGATTGGATCCATTTTTATCATCAAGCTTTACCAAGAAGAATATAATCCATATATAATTGGGTTCACATTTGGAATGTGACGTCCATGTCTGATGGGCCCATGTATCTCAATTGGCAACGTGTATAAATTGGGTCCAATTGATCCATCCGTTTCATGACATACTGCCATACGTGTAAGGACCTAGATCCACGGTTAGAGAAACACCATTTCTTGCCTGTTCCCCAAATGGAGGACCAAAAAAAAGCATGTAATACAGTGCAGAACTGTTATTAGATGTTTTCCATTCAATTAAAATCAGCAATATTGTCTGATGCCAGTTCCATCTCAGAAGTGGCAGCTAAATTGGTTTTAGGGGGTGTTATTTGTTTTTAAGGCTGTGTTTAGTTGCAGTGCAAATTTATTTGTACTGATGTAAAACTATGACGGTGCAAATGATTTGGATGCAAATTTTGATTTATTTTTGTTTTAAATTTTAATTTATGTCGTTTAATTATAATACAAATGAAGTAAAATAAGACATGAAGTAGAATAAAGTAAAACTCAAAATAAAATTAAACCAAAATTTGCATTCTATTCATTTGTATTCCCTTGCATTTGTAATAATTCAAATAAAATTGAACTGCAATCAACCACTGCCGAAGGTTCAGTTTGGAGGGAGTACAAATATAAATATGCAGAGTGCAAAATCTTGAATTTGTATTGTATTTATACTGAGGGATGGTTTGCTGATATATGTTAGTTGGTTCCCTCCAACATTGATGCAAAATCAATTCCTGCAACCACCGATTTGGGGAAAAGGGAGGGTTATTAGTAATGCATGGCAACAAATACCAAAAAAATGTTGTTTTAATGTCTGGTTCAAAAGCTATGGCCTTCAAGCCATTTTCTTCAACTTTCAACCCATTTTCTCATCTGATTTATTGTGACTTCAGGGGTACATTGTCTCAAAAGGGACTTTCTCAGAATTACCCCTTACACCAAAAGGCGCCATCCAAAGATATGAGAGAGGCTGAATTGGCTGAACTGAATTGCTTTATTTTTTTCTTCCAATTTAAAAAAATTTAAGGGTTCAGCTGGAAGCCTACTGAATTATTAGGTTAAAAAATTGCCTTCTATTGAAGTGAATAAGCAATTAAACAGGGGCAAGATCATTTAATTGGTGAATAGAAAGGCCTAGTGACTACCTTATCCTTAAATATTTTATTATATATATAATTATTTTAACTACCAAGAGACACAAGACAATGCAATAAGCAATTCATCAGTTCAGTTCAGCCAACAGTTGTGAAATAACTCCCAAGTTATTTCAATGCAGGGAATATCGCAGCAAAATGGAATTCTTCAATCTTATCCAAACAAAATTAGAAGAAAAAGGAAAAATCTCCTTACAGATACCAGCTCCATATGGGGCTACAAAAAAATATATATAAATACGTATCACAAACAAGTACATTCTTCATCACCATCAACCATAATGGGCGAATCGAGACATAACACGTCAGCTTCATACACATGCATGGGTCCCACACGCTAGCTAGGAGTATGGTAGTTGACCCAGTATCATCATCATCATCATCATCTAGTTCCCAGTAGTTCTCATAATAGTCTACTGGTGACTATTAGAATAGATGGCCGCCGGAGAATGCATGAAGGGTATCAGATGCAAAATGGGTGCAAACAGAGATTCGGAAGCACAGCCAAGGAGGACTTCAACTAGCCCCAGAAAAGTCAACCACTATCCCTCTTAGTGGGATCTGTCTCAGACGTCAGCAATTCATCCATGTATATAAAGAAAAAAAAATTCCAAGAATTATTCAGTGGGACTCTAACAACATTGCTCACATATAATCAAAAGCAGATTCTGCCAATCTCTTCATTCCTTTTTCTTCCAATTTCTTTCAGAATATTAGCTTACAGGAAAGAAACAACAAGGCCCATAACAAAAAAAAAAAAAAACTCAAAAGGTAAAGCAAAAAAAGTTGAGAAATGAAAGCTAAGAGAAGTGGGGAAACACAGATAGGTCCTCTCTCTTTGGCTACATTTCATTTGTTTTCTGTTTTTCAATTTTTTCTTTTTATTCTGTCCAAGTCTCAGCTCTCAACTGGTTACACCTTTGGCTCTCCATTCGCCTTCATGGAGGGTTCTGGAAGGGGATTGCTAACTGCAGTGGAAGAGAGCTTGGCTCCTGTCTTCTGCATCTCGATGTCGTTGGCTTCAATCTCTTCGATCATCGTTAAACTGTTGTTCTCACCACCTTTCACGGCCTCAGGGATTGTCTCAGCAGCTTGCTTCTCTTTGTATTCTTTGTATTTGCCCCACAGAACAGAGTAGAGACCTGCTACTATCAAGATAGCTCCAAGTATGCTGCACCCAGAAGTGAAGATCGGATCAGCTAGTGCTTTAGTGGGGAATAAAAATGGTAAAAGGATTAAGAAAAAAAAAACTTGGAGCTTAAAGGGAAGGGAAAATAAATTGTAAATTTTACCTTTTTTTAGGTACTCACTATTTCATTCTTTTTTTATATATTTCCAGTCCATTTTATTCATTTGTTTTTATTATGATAGTGATATTTCACGAAGGTACTAGTGCGAGTAATAAGAATAAAAGTGGAATTTTGTTTCTTTCTATGAGGCTGTGTGATAATGAGTGGGTAGTGAGATAGATACCCATTATGGCATTCCCCAAAAATAGTGGGAAATTTTTTTTCTTCAAGTTCAATAACAAAAAATAAATAAAAAGGAAGATACCATGATGGGTTATTTTTAATTTAAATGAGAATTATGAAAATGGTAAGAAAGAAAGTTATTAGTATTAGTATGTTAGTAGGATTTTGAGTTTAGAGGAAATTACCCTCCCAAATAGATATTTTCAAAAAGGATGAAAGACCCCATGATGGCCACAATGATCATCATCAATGGGCTGAATGCAGTCACAAAGACAGGTCCTCTTTTTTGCATCACTAGCCCTTGGACGTAGTATGCAATGCTTGAAGAGATAATCCCCTGTATATGAGAAGTATAATATTAGTAATTTTCTTTCGGAACTTCACTAGCTGAGAGAGAGAGAGAAAGATCAGAGGAGAGAGAGACTAACAGCATAGGCAGCGGCAAGGAGGTTCATGTCCCAGCCAATGGTCCAAACAGAGGTTGAGTGTTCCATCACAAAGGTAACTGCGATAGACTGTAAAGTGCCCAGGAAGACTACCAAGGCAGTGAGAGAGAGCTGAGCTGAGTATCTTCTAAGTGTTATTGCCTGCAAAAAGATGCCCACAGAGAAAAATAAACTTCAATTTCCTAAAGATCAGAGTCCAAAATAAGTAGAATAAGTAGGGAGAGAGAGAGAGAGAGATGGGTATTATTTTCTTGTTTTCACTTACCTGAAGGATGAAGAAAGAAGCCCAAGCAAGAGTAGCAATGATGAGGAGGATGGAGCCCTTGGCCCAGTCTTTGTCAGATGTTCCAGTGGCGTCTGTGGCATTGGAGTTGTGAGGATGCACATGCTTCGTCCACACCATCTCCATGATGGGTCCCTTGTACAAGGTCATCAACATGGCCCCGGCCACCGTCACTATAGTTCCCACCACCTTTGCTTGGCACCTCACCTTCTTCATATCAATCTTCTCCATTCTGTTGGTCATTATAGCCACCACCCACATCACAGAATTAGCCTTCAATCCTGCTAATAATAGATAATTTTAATGATCAATGCGCAAGCATTTACCTGCAGAGAACCGCCATGACAAAGGTCATCGCCGGTAACATGTTGCTCATGGCACATGAGAAGGTCGGGGAGGTGTACTTCAGCCCTGCGTAATAGAAGTTTTGATCGATGACCGGCCTGCGAAACCCAATAACTAATCAGTCAGATTTTCTCTTTCTTACTAGTATCTTGGCCATGACTATACTGCTCTATTTCAGAACACAGGAGAATGAAGCTGGTAATATCATATCCATGCAACAGGGCATGATGAGAAGAAACTAACCCAAGAAGCCCAAGAACAAAGATTTGAAGGAAAACCGGTAATGTCATCTTGGGTCGCACTTTCCTGAAATTATCGAACAGGAAATTAAGCATCAGAAAACTCTGTTAAACAGAGTTGAAGTTTGAAGAGAAGAGAAGTTGGCTGGACTGGTCAGCAGCTGGCTTAGCATCTAAGAGATTTGTATACCTCTCGAGAACGAGAGCAAAGGGGGCGATGACTGCAGTGGCAAAGGCGTGGCGGTAGACCACCAGGACGTAGTGGCTCATGCCTCTGTTGAGAGAAACCTTGGTTATGATATTCATCCCCGCGTAGCCAAATTGGAGGGAGATCATTGCTACGTAAGGTTTGCATCTTTGGATGAAGTTGCTACAGCACCCCATTTCCTTATAGTTATGGTGACCCAAAATTTCAGTGAGAGAAAGGACACTCTTTGGCCTTCAAAGGAGCTAGAACTTGGAAGGAAGAGAGACAGAGAGAGATAGGAGGAAGGAACACCCAAGATGTCTCTGTGTTTCTCCTAGGGAAAAATGTATTACTCTCCTCCCTATTTATAGACCTTAAGCTGAAGGGGAGTAGGGGACCCCCTATCAAATAATTCCAGCCTGCCTTTGCGTGAGTGTTGCGTATGCCTGCCTGTGACACATTCTCTCTCTCTCTCTCTCTCTCTCTCTCTCTAGCTGATGATGCCTGATGAGCTGATGGATCTGTGGAGCCAAGACCATTCCAGGGCCAGGGCTTTGAATCTTTTGAATATTCTATATCACATATTTATCCATTAAGGAGGGGTCCACATCACAGAGATGAGTGAGTGAATGGATCACACGTGGCAGCAATAGGAGGTGATTTATGTGCTTGAGGTGGGTCCACTAGCTTACCATAGTGGTAAGCGATTTGAGAGGTACCAAAACGAATGAGAGCTTGGTGCGCCTGCTGATGCCATGGATGGAGGCATGGAGCCACAGCTCTGTGGAACTACAGTTGGTTGTTCACTGATGCGGCGAGCCGATGCATATCTGAGGACTGCTATTCACAGGAAAGCCCACTCTGATATCTGACCACCCACCTCCCTTGCTTACTTCCTTTGGCCTGTAAGAAAAGGTTGGTATGTATGCCTTGATCATCATCATTCATAAGATAATGTAGAGCAGCTCTTATCCGAATGCAAATTAAAGCTAGTGCTCTTCAATCCCAAAATGGCTCTGTTGATGTGGCACGCAGCATGGTGTGTTCATTGTTGTGAGGCAAACCGTGGCCGCGCAAGGCCAAGTTGCGTCGTCGCCTAGTCCCCGACCTCCGTCGGGTTGAGGCCGTGACGACGGTCGTGCGGCCTGTAGGGACCATGCAAACATGCCTTTTATGTATTGGGTTGAACCCTCAAAAGATGGTGCCTCAGACAGTGATATCCATAATGCCATCCTTTGGTTTGCTTAGTGGGCTCCCTCTCTCTTTTTCTGTGTGTCACTTCTTTTACCAATTCAAATGTTAAGAGTCTGGTTATGTACTAAAAATCATTAATTCAAAGATGATCTCTGTCTCAACCATCAAAGATGATGCTCTGTCTTAGCAAAAGTAAATGAGTAGAGGGGGATTATCACCATAAACAAATTAGAAACAAGGCTATTTAATTTCCTTGGCTATTTTGTGTGATTGTGTTCCTTTGATTTGCTTGGTGGAAATTATCGTAGTTATAATTAAAAGCAGTGACATATGTTAATTAATCTTGTGATCTGTGGATCATTAATCACTTAAAAAAGTTGGATACTTAAGTTTCTTAATTTTACTAATAAGATTATATATTGGGTATGGATAAGTATTCCATTCCTACTTAATCAAGCTTGTGCGGGCTGCTACTTGCATCCAACTATTTAATAATAAACTAGCAAATTTTTACATTCTATCTGTATTTGTATGGATGGATATGAATCTCAGTCTATATGTGTGTACATATATACATATGTGAAAAGGCATGTCTTTCTGTCTGGTGATTAGGCCCCATTTGCTTCTGATGGCAAATGTTTGAATGAATGAGTGTATATGCATGTATGTATGGTCATGTCCATGGCATCATTCTCTCTAGTAATTATTAGACCTCATTTGTTTCTGATGGCAAATGTATGTATGAATGAGGGTATATGCATGTATAGTCATGTCCATGGCATCCTTCTGTCTAGTAATTAGACCATAGACCCCATTTATTGCTTCTAATTAATGGCGAATGTATGCATGAATGAGGGTATATGTATGTATAGTAATGTCCATGGCATCCTTCTGTCTAGTAAATAGACCCAATTTGCTTCTAATCAATGGCAAATGTATGCATGAATAGTGTACATATGTATGGTCATGTCCATATATGGCATCTAGGATTCCTTCCCAGTATTATGGAACTATTTAGTTCTGGATGTGTCGCTCTTTGTTGCAAATGGAATATAATATATATGATTATTCCAAAGATGACATTCTCCCAGTATCATCTTGTGGCCGGAGTTCTGATTCAATCACGAGATTCCATGCTTAATCGTCATCATATTCCTCCAAGCTACACAAAATGCTTTCTTAAAGCAAAGATGGATAAGGAATCTGCTCATCATTTAAATCTCAAATAATTTAGAAGCCATAGAATTATCAAATCTGTCAAATTACCCTAAGGGTGTTTGGATATATTGATTTTATTTTAATTATCCAATTCATTGCCAACAATTCCGATATTTGTCGCTTGGCTAGATATGATCAAAAGTCAGCATCGGTAGGATTATTCTGATATATATACCGTATCAACATGCCATTAACAATTCTTCTCCTGTTTCTACTTTTGAAATTCTAAATCAACTGCTATAAGATAATTTGACAAACACATGGCCGAGTGGTAAACCCTTCAAGATTTTTTTTCATGAGTAAATGAGAAAGATTTTATTAAAAGAAAAGAAAAAAAAAGAGAGACAAAAGAGGATAATATAGAAAATCCTTTAAGAATTGGCTCTTTCTAAAGCGCTCATGCCCTGTAAGTCAACCAGCTGCAAACAAAATTATGAGCCCCTATACACACCATAATAAAAGGGTTTATGCTAACTTCAGTCTTAAGCTTAATTACTATATGTTGTTTAGGAATGAGACCAATTGGGTCATTGCGTTTCAATGTGTGTTTGCCAGAGTTTTATTCACTTAATTGAGCTGCAAATGTTGCACCCCACCAAGGGTGGGTAGTATTTTAGGCATAAGGAGTGCAATACTCTAGAGCTTTTGTGCAAACATTTACAGCTCAAAGATACAATAGTTCTCAGTACCAACACAAAAGAAAAAGTATATTTCCAAATAATGAGATGTAAATTTTAATATCTGGTCACGCATCAATATTGGATGTTATGTATCTTATTTGAAGGATTATATTTCAATATTTATGACATAACCTTTCACTTGATGGAGATTGGCTTCACGTTATGGTCTATGACTATGCCATTATAACAATATTATTGCTTTATAGTGGATAAATTCATCATTGTGTCTTTGGCAAGTCCAAAATCATGGATTCAAAATTTTGTTTTCAGTCGATTGATGACCCAAGATTGATTAAAATCAATGTAATTCAAAGCCAATTGAGATATTGATTTGAACCCAATTAAGCAATGGTCGAGAATATGTAAGTAATGGGACTGGAAGAATTGGATTATTGAATAATAAAGCATTATGATCTTGGACGAGACAATGCCACAAAATTGAATTTCATATATTGATTTGAATGATCATGATCATCACTACACAGTCTGTTCTCTGTAGATTCTTTTGTTGAGGTAAGCCATGACTAATCTGGTCTTCAAAAAGCATGGTACTGACTAGACTGTTAGGAACATCGATCATTTGTGACCTCTCTGAAAGTCTCAAGCTATGGCTGATATTAATTGGAGCTGACCTGCTGAAGGCATCATAAATAATATTTGGAATATGTCATGCTTCTAGTTCTGGGTAGATTTAATTTGTTTTATATATCCAAGAAGGCCTCACAAACAGTGATATTCTCAGAAGGGAGGCCCCTTCCACTATACAAAACATAAGCTTCAATTATGGCCTTTTATTGAGAAGAAAACCACAGACGACTATGCATATATAATAACAAAAGAACACCTTTAATTATGCATTAATTGTTATCAGATAAGGCCTTTAAATAATTAGAAATTGTTCTGTGCTCTGGTTATGGTGTCGGTGCTAATACAATTAAGCCCAAATTATATATGTCCAAAAATAAACAGTAAAAAGATCAACACCCCAGACCAGAACAACCTAAAACCAAGAAATGAGCAAAATATGAAAGAAAAAGGAAGAACATATCAAGTGTTGGAGCACACAGAGACCTTTTTTTTTCTTCTCATGAAAAGTTGGGTTTCTTTCAACAATTAATACCCATAATATATAAGGCTGCCCTGTGTCTGTGTTTCTTCTGTTCCATCTCTTATATAACAATACAAAATTAAAGCATGAGTGATTCATTAGGGCATTTATATATAATTGCAAAATAGCAACACAGGCAGCCAGTGACAAGTTAGAATCTAATACTACAAGGACCACATTTTTAAGAAAGTTAAAAACGTGGTAATCCTTATTAAAATGCATAGTGCAGTGCCTCTTTTAATAATTACTACTTTTGTGGGGTCCTTCCATATATGCTTACTTTTCTTTATACCCCAACTTGCGGCTGGTCTAGGTGACATATGTGGTATATGGCTGGCTAGTGGCCAGGTACGTCGTAAGATGGGATCAAACTCAAACCCACAACACTAGGAGAGGCACGTCGAGCTTTATTTCAGCCACAAATTTGCACCTACTTAACTTGCCAAATGACCAAATTCCCTTGATCTTATTCTTCTAATGTGTTTGATGACGACGATATAATTTCTTTTTGAAAATGACCAAAATGTCCTCTACAACAACTACCCCGGGACATGTGCTCAAGTGGAGCATGCACCAAGAACAAAATGGGTGTCTAATCATCCTCCCAATCATCATCGAGCCACGTAAGACAGGCAAATCCCCCCACCAAATGAAAGAGCCGAGTATATATATATATATATATATATATATATTGGAGCGAGTCCTGATCATGAAAGGGAGGGGGAGAAGGGTATATATATATATAGCTAGCTGAGGTATGCAATTATAGGAAAAGGGGCCAGAGGGAACATGGTGAGTTGGGTGCCCTTAGAAAGAGTTTTTGTTGAGTGTCCTAACGTACAAATTAAAGTGAAATATAATGGAATAGGACTATGGGCCGGGTGGAATGCATGAGGGAGTGGGTTGATAATGGGGTCCCAATTGGGGTTGATGTGTTGGAACTTGTGAGGCAGTTTATTCAAAGGGGGATTGGAAAGAAAGGTGATGATCTCTTTCTTTCTGTTCATATCTTTTTTATTTTTTATTTTTTTTGTGATGATTTTCATTTTATTTGCTTTCTTTTGTTTTTCAATGACAATAAGGGTATTTGTGATCGATTATATTCCAGTAGAGATCTGGTGGTGCTTGATATCTCTAAAAGGTCCC